ATAACTTCTTTCCATGTTTTGGAAAGAGTCAGTCAACACTCTGCCGAAAGTCGTGGGTTTTCTCCGGGTGCTCCGGTTTCCTCCCACAGGGAATGTTGACAGGGTGGGTTAGGATAAACACAGTCACGACAGTAATATCACAATAGACCATTTGCATTATAGGCTAAATTTTGATCTAGATAAAAATTTCATCACAGCTTGAAAGAGCATCACAAAATTAGTAATATTCCAAAGTTTCGTTGCGAAATGTTGTAAAATGCGGATATAGCCTTGTGAAGTTTGCCGTTTTTCAGTCATTTTGTATTACAAACGGGAAATTGATGCCCCAACACCCGATTGGGCCGTCAATTTCCCGTGCGTAATACAAAGACTGAAAATTGCAAACTTCGCAAGGCTATATTATCCGCATTTTACAACATTTCGCAACGAAACTTTGGAATATTACTAATTCTGTGATGCTCTTTTAAGCTGCGATGAAATTTTTGTCTAGATTAAAATTTAGTCTATAATGCAAATGGTCCATTGTTGTAAAGATAAAATAGTCAAGGCTAAGTAAGGAATTAGGTAAGCGTAATACTTGATGTAAAGCGCATTCATCATATCCTCATGGAAATTTGTGCTATAGAAATGCTAGTCGTTAATCTGACTTCGTACTGTATTGGTTTTCAACAGCTTGCAACATAAATCTCGGCTTTGTCCTGGATGGTTCGGCAAGCGTGGAAGGTACAAGGAGAGGAAATTTTCTGAAAATGATCAACTTCGTGAAAGATATGATCCATGCATTCGTGGAACTCTCACAACAAGTTCATGTTGGAACTCTGGTGTATAGCACCAACTCGTCTGTCATCTTGTCATTTGGAACCAAAGGAACTGAGAAAGTCATTGATCAGATACTGGATAGTGTACATTACCCAGGTTTGTAGTGGAGGATATGTTATAGAACTGTTGCCTGTTGGTTATATGGTCACCATCACCAGCAGCATCGCCATCACCACTACCATTGCCACATCATCATCACCATCATCATCCCCACAACACCACCATCATCAGCACTACCATCATCAATACTACCATTACCACAATCATCACGTTCACCATCGCCACCTACCACCATTATCATCATTACCATCATAACCATCATCACTACCACCATCATCACTACCACCATCATCACCATCGTCATTATCACCACCATCATCATCACCATCACTACCATCATTATCATCCATCATCACTACCACCATCGTCATCATCATCACCACATCATCACCACCATCATTATCAACATCATTATCATCATCACCATCATCACTACCACCATCGTCATCATCACCAGATCATCACCACCATCTTCATCATCACTACCATCATCATTATCATGATCATTATCATCATCACCATCATCACTACCACCATCACCACCATCGTCATCATCACCATCATCATCACCACCATCATCATCACTACCAACATCACCACCATCATCATCATCACCACCATCATCATCACCACTACCATCATCATTATCATCATTATCATCATCTGGTTCATCATCACCATCATCGTCACCACCATCATCACCACTACCATCATCAACACGAGCAGCACTACCATCACCATCACCAAGATCACCATGACTAATAATTTCCACGTGTTATACAGGTCAGGGCTCTCTAACAGGAAAAGCGATCAAAGATGCGTGGAATCAAATGTTCAGCTCAGTCCCACGAGGACGCAAAAGCAAGCTCCTACTCCTCACTGATGGCCCCTCAAATGACGACGTGAAAATGCCTTCAAAATGGTTGCGAGATAATGGAGTCGAGATGTTCATCATAGGCCTGGGTAAAGGATATGATCAAGGTCAACTACAAGATATGGCCAGCCAGCCAAGTGATCAACATATCATGATTAAAGATTACGACGATTTGAGAACATCTATACAAGAAGCAAGAAATAAAATTTGTGGATTTAATGCTAATCAAGGTTTGTCTTATACCTCTAAGATCGTGGGTTTGATTCTCGCGCAGTGAGCTCTGTATATCTGGAGCGATAACTTCATTCGCACTATGAGAAAAGTGAAGCGAGGATGGCAACCATTGACCTCCAATAGCTTCGATGGTCGTAAACAGTTTTAATATTTTTTTACAGTTTTAAAGTTTTAATTCCCACCGTGGCCAGGCATATTTTTCAAGCCTGCTAGGTGTGGATATACACTCAGAATAACATCACAAGCATCTTATTCACCTGAGTACATTACATCAACACAAGAAAATTATCATGATTACTAGATTACATAGATATCGAAGGAACTAGACTCAGTTCCGAAATATCACATACTCGAACCGACCTGACCGCGTAGCTCAGTTGGCAGAGCATTGGGCTAGTATTCCAAAGGTCGTAGGTTCGATTCCCACCGTGGCCAGGCATATTTTTCAAGCTTGCCCGGTGTGGATATACACTCAGAGTAACATCACAAGCATCTTATTCACCTGAGTACATTACACCAACACAAGAAAATCATCAGTTTTAATACCATTTCTCTCGGCTAATTCCAGTTTTTTTCTATCGTTTAGTTCTACAGATCATGACAAGTGCAAGATTTAGCGATAGTTTTAAAGAAATCAACGCATTCCAACGAACTTTTGGACGCAAACAGTGCATTCTCGATGTGGTCTTTCTGCTGGATGGTTCGAGACAGGTGGAGACAAACGGAGAAGGAAATTTTCAACGTGAAATAAGCTTTGTCAAAAAGGCTGCCAAGTATTTGCCACTGTCTCGCAATGATGTTCACATTGGAGTGGGGGTATTAGGTAACATGCCATATAAAATATGTATGGTCAAGTGAGACCAAGAGTTGCCGAGATTTGAGAAGCGAGAGTTTGCATGAGAGTTGAGAAGACAGTTTGTATGAGAGTTGATGAGAGTTGAGAAGACAGTTTGCATGAGAGTTGATGAGAGTTGAGAAGCGAGAGTTTGCATGAGAGTTGATGAAAGTTGAGAAGCGAGAGTTTGTATGAGAGTTGATGAGAATTGAGAAGCGAGAGTTTGTATGAGAGTTGATGAGAGTTGAGAAGCGAGAGTTTACATGAGAGTTGATGAGAGTTGAGAAGCGAGAGTTTGCATGAGAGTTGAGAAGACAGTTTGCATGAGAGTTGAGAAGACAGTTTGCATGAGAGTTGATGAGAGTTGAGAAGCAAGAGTTTACATGAGAGTTGATGAGAGTTGAGAAGCGAGAGTTTGCATGAGAGTTGATGAGAGTTGAGAAGCGAGAGTTTGCATGAAAGTTGAGAAGCGAGAGTTTACATGAGAGTTGAGAAGACAGTTTGCATGAGAGTTGATGAAAGTTGAGAAGCGAGAGTTTGCATGAGAGTTGAGAAGACAGTTTGTATGAGAGTTGATGAGAGTTGAGAAGCAAGAGTTTGCATGAAAGTTGATGAGAGTTGAGAAGCGAGAGTTTGCATGAAAGTTGATGAGAGTTGAGAAGCAAGAGTTTGCATGAAAGTTGATGAGAGTTGAGAAGCAAGCGTTTACATGAGAGTTGATGAGAGTTGACAAGCGAGAGTTTACACGAGAGTTGAGAAGCGAGAGTTTACATGGGACTTGATGAGAGTTGAGAGCGCGAGTTTGCATGAGAGTTTTCTCAACTCTCATGCTCCGGTCAAACGAGAACAAGCGTTGTTGTTAATTACTATTAATTATTTTAGGCGATTCTAACGTGATGGTCTTCCCCATGAACGAACATTATATTCGGAATTCTATAGACTACGAACTTGATCATATACGATATCCGGCCTCCTCCGATATTCAACCCCAGGAAATAAAGTACGCCCGACAGCTTATGCTTATGAAAGGTAGGAATAACTGGGCCTTCCGAGTGGGTCCACTAATACGATTTAATCTGGGAGTTCCTGGCAAAATTTATAAACTAAGAAACCTATTGCATTGCTAACCAACGGCCTCTCTGTAGGTATACGAGATGTTGCCCCTCGGGTGTTTGTCCTGGTCACGGATGTGAGCTCCATCGACTCGTACCGCCGGGCTATTGACGAACTACGGACGGACGGTTCCGATGTCGCCATATTCGGAGTGGGATCGGAGATATATAAGCAAGAGGTCAAGGTCAGATCTAGTGTTCAAGGATTGGTCGATCAAGTTGTGACGTTGGATAGCGCGGATGAAAGCGAGGCTGCAAAACATTTTGCCATCAACATGTGCAAGATTTCCAACTCGAAGAGAACCGAGATCCCTAGATTAACCTGGAAGGCTTCTGATAAGGTTTTAAACCAAAACTGAACGAGACAAACTTGTCGTTATGGAAAGATTAAAGTGCGATTAACCCCAAATATAGACTTGCTCCAAGTCTCTCTTTCATTGTCATATAGTATCGATCCACTATAGTGTACATTACATGCCGTAGTACGGAGGGGCGGAGCGAGAAAGAGAGACTTGTCAACTTCGGAAAATCTCGGTTCAAAACTGAACCGAAAATGCAAGATTTGCTTTAATTGTTTCCCTTCAATTTCTTTCTGTATTATTTACTATAATGGAACTCATGTTATTTACACTGTGCTAGATCAATACATATAAACACTGACAGAAAACAATTAAAGCAAGTCTTGCATTTTCGGTTCAGTTTTGAACCGAGATTTTCCGAAGATGACAAGTCTCTCTTTCTCGCTCCGCCTCTCCTTGCTACGTCATGTAATGTACACTGTAGTGGATCGATATGACAATGAAAGAGAGACTTGGATCAAGTCTACCCCAATTTGTGTAATATTTGGGTCATTCGAAGAAGAAATGTACTATATCTTTATAGTAAAAAATTCCATCTTGATCAACTTTTTCACTGTCAAAGTTTCCGGATATGATGTCATTAGGGGAATTGCAAATTAGTTTTACTTTGCTTTTTGTACCAAAAATTCACCTAATGACCTCATATCCGGAAACTTTGACAGTGGAAAAGTTGATCAAGATGAGATTTTTTACTATAAAGATACATTACATTTCTTCTTAGAATGACCCAAATATCACACATACCAAAAATTATATTTGGGGTTAGTCGCACTTCAAAACAACGATGTCTCATATATATAATTTCATAGCTCACTGAACAAAAGACTTGTGAATTTAAAAACTGAAAAAACAACGAAAGAGATACAACTAACTTCAAAGAAGTCCACTATATTAAATGCAGTGTTCCTCAGGGATCAATTTCGGGTCCTGTATTTGTGATATCTAAAGAAAGTGTCTCGGTTTTGAGACACTGCTGTCAAAAATTGACAATCTAAATAAGGGAGCTATGAGACATCTAGTCTAGGTAATGTAAAACAAAATGCCTACATTAGGAAGTCTCAAACAAACACTTAATAAATTTCGACTTAGAAATATTCTTGGGTTTACGTATATGTAGAAAAGCTGAAATTTTGTAGATATTCTATATAATACAGCGTTTTAAATAGCTTTAAAATAGGTTCCCTCATGTGTTTTATTTATGAATATGTCCCTCAAGGTCCAATTTTTGCACTTGTTACAATTCACCTAATTTCAAAAGGAGTCAGCTGGATTACATATGTTACTCTATGAGGAGTATCTTGCAGAATTTCGACAAAGATTTGCTGATGAATAAGAAAATGAATTGAAAATTTGATAATCGACGTATTTACAAATATTTATTCTCTACATATTCTTCAAAAACAACTACAATGAATATTACATTATAAATTAGGATTTTGAGATGCAACAATGTTTAACATTAATCGTTTTAAATACTAAATATACAATCGGTAATTTAGTCACATCGTCAGTGAGAACATTCAGTACGTTTAACATGCTACTGGTTATGTATTTTAGTGCTTGAAACCCCCCAGAAATATTTACCGTAGAGATTTTATCCCGTAGATTCGGTTCCAGTAGATATCACTCTCGTAGGTTCTTTCACCGTAGGTACCATTCTCGTAGGATCTTTTACCGTAGGCACTGTTCCCGTAGGAAACATTCTTGTAGATTCTTTTACCGTAGGTATTATTCTCGCAGGTTCTTTTACCGTAGGTACTATTCCCGCAGACTCTTTATCCGTAGGTACGATTCTTGTGGACCATTTCTCCGAGGGTGTTTTGGAGTTGAAGCTGTCTATTGAAAGATTGCCATTACAAACATCATTAGTTACTTCACTACATCGACCATTATTGTACACATTTGTCCCCTCGATACCTGATATACTGCTATTTATCTCTTGTGACCCATGGCAGTTCTGACCTGAATAGGTTATACTGGATTTCTGTTCGTTCACGTTATTACTGTTACAGACTTCAGTATTTTTGTGCGATGCTTGCTGCAATTCAATGTTCCTTGTGTCAACATTCTGTTCTTCATGTCCATTTCCATTTGTCATTAAAGTACTGTCATTCGATATTTTATCCACAAACGTAGCATGATTCTGTCTATGTTCAAATCCATCCATATCCATCACTGTATCCCTATTACCTTCACTATCATCGTTCTTGCTATCAGTTTCCATCAACTGTTGTTCCTTATCATCCATAGAAACCCTAAGATGATCCTCGGTTTGATCCTTAATTTCCACCCCATTGACTCCCATTTTATCATCACCGTGTCCCTCATTACCATTTCGAGTCACAGTTGTCCCTATAAGTCCATCATTATCCACACCATTTATTGCCACTTCAGCACTTTCAGATACCGACACCTTTGATATGGCGTCATCAACAACATCGCATATGACGTCATCAACTACGGCACGTATGACGTCATAAATTACGTCACGTACTATTACATCACATAAGCCACTCGTAACAGAATCTTGGACGACATCATTATCCAAATTTGGACGTTTCTCAGCTCTGATCTCAATTCTCAAATCTGGATTATCATCAAAAGCTTCAAAATTCTTGGAAAATTCTGAGAGGGGCGAAGAACTAGCGGATGTTATGTCATCGTAATCCAGGAATTTTCTCTTTCTACTTCGAGTGACCATCGACAGCAGAGGTGCAGCACCCTCCTCCCCCGGGATTTCTTCAATATTTGTATCATCGGGAATATCGGTTGTCTCATTCTCCAGGGGTGTGTGAAGACTTTCGCTACAAGTGTCTGCAATTTCATCGTCTTTAGCGTTGAATTCATCTCCTATGAAATCATTGATCGGTAAAATTAAAGAGCTGTAGTTTCTCGGGACTAAATAAGTGATATTTGGTTTCTCAATTCGATGTGGCAAAGCCAGCCCAACAAATATCGTCATGCTATGCAAATTATAAATCATTATCATTATTCATTTCTTTAGAAATTGAATGTTTTTACGGTCTATGAAGACGGAAACATTTGCATATAGCATGACCAAATTGTCAGGCTGGCTATGGCACTGTTACAAACATCTTGTTCTGAACATATGCTCATGCTGGTATATTTACTTTTGTTTAAAATGAAGCGCAGATCAAACGAGGATGAGAGTTGACAAGAGTTGGAAGACACGCATTATTGTGGGCGACATTATGTTTTAACTTAAAGGCACAGCCTTTTGAATGATGGTTTTCAAGGCGCATTCCAGCCCTTTTAATTGAAAAAAACTAACTAGGAAAATCAATTAAGCATAATTCAAGATCAGCAAACTCAATGTTTTTAACAATAAAGAGGTTTTAAAATGTTAAAAACATTAAGTTTGCCAGTTCCCTTGGGCCTGCACGCGGGCTATAAGTTTGCTGATCTTGATCTTAATTGATTTTCCTAGTTAGTTTTTCAATTACATTGAAAGGGTTGAAATGCACCTTAAAAACCATCATTCAAAAGGCTGAACTGTGCCTTTAAATGGAATACATGATAGTGTTGGGGAAAGTCATTAACAACAGCTAACCAAGCTCGTATGACTGCCAACGCTCATGCGCTCTCATCCTCGAGTTTCATCCTGGCTTTAGAATTGCAAACACGCAAAACAAGATGTGGTCGCTAGTATTACGGATTTTTGATGCGACAGTTAATTAAGATTTATATTAATACAATACCTGAATCAAGTTCATCAGATTTCCAATCTCGCATTAAATTAATCATGCCTTTCACTCTCGCCCGCGAATATCTCGCATCATTCTTGCCCAAGTCTTCAACCAAATCACTCAAGACTTTATGGAGATCTTTTTCGCATCGTCTCCGAGTCGGCCGACCTGCCGACTTCTTTCGGGAAGGCGTCGGCGGTCGTTCGGCAAATTTCTCGCATAATCCACGCAATGATTCGACGTCGCTGCAGGCGAGTTGGAAACCGGGCTCGATAGTCGTACCCAGACCCTTGCTCTTCTTTGATGACGTAGAGGATCTTCGCGATTTGGATTGGCTAGTCCGTTTTGGTGTTTTGTAACTACTGAACGCTTTCGACTGCAGTGAATAAAAAACTTTCCAAATTTAACACAAATTTTTTAGGGTCATTGAATTCTTTGGAAGATAGTACAAAAATCTCACAAAATTTACTGTCTGCACAAATAAAATAATTGCCGATTGACGTGGCCGTTAGCTTTGTTCGCGCTTGTTGAAAATTAAACAATTGTAATACTAGCCTGCGAGAAGGCTCTCAACCTGTTCGCAGGCTATTGTAATACCAGATGCACAGTCGCCATGTTTATATTTGAGACATCAGAACGATGGCGCACATTTGAGTACGAAATTGGAGGACGTTTGAAACAAAGTCCATGCAGAGACTTTTCAAAGACCAGTACAGACATTTGAGCACTTGATTTTGTAGAACAATTTAAATAAAGGATTGGCATTCCGTATTTTTCGGAGACAAAAGAAGAATTTTCAAAAATGGCATAATTACTTTTTCCATACGTTTTGCGTTAACTATGACCAGGGCCGCCCAGAGGGGGGGCAAAGGGGGCAAATTGCCCCGAGCCCCGAGTTGCTGGGGGCCCCTGAAAATTTTTTGTAGGGCCCCAGCCTTTTTTGTGTGTTAAATATTTCCGCGCAAAGGACAAGATATCTGTTTTCTTGGGCTAAGTACCTAATTTTGGCATAAAAAAAAGAGATAAAGTCCCTCGAAAGCATTTGCAACGTACCCGTCCGGCAAAATTTTGTACTCCGGAAAAAAATTTTTACCCCTAAAATGGTACACTGACCGAATTTTTTTTGGATATTTTTATATAGGGGCCCCTAAAAACATTTTTAGATAGGGGCCCCTAAAAAAAAATTTGCCCCGGGCCCCCGCCAACCTCTGGGCGGCCCTGATTATGACAGGGCACGAAAGGAATATTTTACCACTAAAAACATGAGCAACTCAACTTGCTAAAAAACTCAACAAAATAAATGGGTGATCCCAGCTATATACTAAATTTTGATCAAGGCAAGAAGAACGAAATCCAACACCACAGCTAGAAAGAGCGTCTTAGAATGAGTAAAACTGCAAAGATTGGTTGCTAAATGTTGTTAAATGAAGAAAATATAGCCCTGTGAAGTTCGCAAATTTTGTATATATTTGTAGTACGCGCGGTAAAAATAATCGGCTCAAAAATGGTTATTTTTCCCGCGCGTAATGCAAATATATACAAAATTTGCGAACTTCGCAGGGCTATATTTTCCTCATTTTACAACAACAGGGTTCGTAGTCTCCAAGACCAAAAAAATTTCAAAGATTTTTTCTGCCTATTGTCAAAGACTTTTCAAAGACCTTTGCGAGCAATCAGTTGTCGAAAAATTGCGATGTATAAGCACCATTTTTACCAGGTAATTAGTCCCGTCAAATCACAAAAAGGAACTTTTTCGTCAAATTTTGCTTCATTCAATCTATTTTATTAGTTAGAAAATCGTATAATCACTAAAGAATTTAAAGACTTTTAAAGACTTTCTTCGCTTTTTCACACACTTCAAAGACTTTTCAAAGACCTTAAAGACCTGCATTCAAATTTAAAGACTTTCGAGGATTTCAAAGACCGCTACGAACCCTGAACAATTCGCAACCAAACTTTGCAATTTTACTCGTTTTAAGATGTTCTTTCCAGCTATGGTAATGGTTTCGTTCTTTTTATCTAGATCAAAATTTCATCCATAGCAGGAACCGTCCATTGGAGAGTACTCACATTTGATGTCCATTTTCTATACCATTCATTGAGTGCAGGTAGTTCAGCTTGCTTGTAAATCCTGATGTCCGTCGCATCAAAGATAGGAAAATAAAGATAGGTCGAGTTCTGAGCATCATAGCCAAGGTAGGTTTCACTGTATGGTGTGGTGTCTGTATTACCAAGAATATCGCGCAACTGTGGATGGTAGTCCTAGAGGTTAACAACAGATTGTTATTAGGGAGTTTTTAAAGCTTCACGTTTCCGGGAACGGCAAACGGCAGGTTCGAACTTTCTTGGCAAAATTTTTGTTGAACGTTTTCGTTTCATATTTTCTTTCTTGCGTCGAAAGAATAATTACGTATTTCAGTTTTAAAATAACAAGTTCATTTACTCTTAATTGCTTGATACCGTAAAATTTTTCTTTGCCTGGCGTTTGTCGTTTGACGTATAACGTAGTTGGTATACCTAGACAGGGTTCGTAGTCTCCAAGACTTTTCAAAGACCTTTGAGAGCAATCAGCTGTCGATCAAGTCACATCCTAAAATGCGCCTTTTCGTCGATATTTGCGAAAACCTTGCTCTTCAATCAATCTATTTTATTAGCTAGGAAATCGTATAATCAAATACTCACAAAGAATTTAAAGACTCTGCCCTTAATATTAGTGACCTTAGAGGAAAACTTCGACCCCAAAACTTAGGAGTCCAGAAACAAGAATATAATTTCCTGCTTTGGTTAACAAAATTAAAACGTACCAAACACTCGTCACACAATACTTTCAGTATCAAGACACGTTGATGTAGCGTTAAATCGATGTATGACTTCGTTTCCAACGGGTTGCTCTCCCCTGAAACACGCAAGAGAAAAATAATAAAGTGTTTACAGTAGTATATTCATGAAAAATCAAACTACATTCATGTTTTGCTTTTTAAGTTATCAAACTTTTTAATAGAAATTTGCACTACGGTACCTAATATTTGAAAGAATGTTGGATTTAATCCGATCTGCCTTGCAACCTGGAAGAAAAAATAATACATGTACATACGTTTTATTTTTAAGCTCATGAACGGTTGAATGCTTTAAGGAAATGAACGGTAACACATAAAGGTATGATGCTTGTGATGTTACTCTGAGTGTATATCCACACCG